GTATATTCTAATGACGAAATTAGGCAAACTGATTCACCCAAATACTTTGAATGTGTGGGACACATTATCGCGTTGTGCGTCATCGTATGCCTGCATATCTGCTCGCCAGGATTGGGAGGTGCGGCCGTACAACTCTGTGTGCAGCGACCGTACTAACAGTGACCGATCATTAACCTCTGTTTAACCTAATCCCCCATCCTGATCATGAGTAGCTCCCTGCGTGTACACTTAATCCGCAACATACTGAATAAACGTGCTCCGTGCTACACGTCTGTTTCCTTTATAGCTGGGCTATAGCTTAGCTGGTTCTGGGAGTCTAGCTAGATGTTGGAGAATCTGCCATAGAGATTTCTGAGCCAGTCAGGCTTTACTAGCGTAGCAATCCGCTACAAATATACGTATATAAATATGAACATATAAGCATTGTTATATTCACATTACTTTGGAAATCTACATATCAAAAGAGCATTATAATTTGTAAACAGGTTTTTAGGTTCAAATCATATTGTTTTCCATGATTAACACTTCAAAGAATACTCCATTAACTTCACAATTCGGGATAAAAAAGTGAGGGAATTCTAATTGCACAAAAAATGAAAAATTTACTTGTCTTCACTACAATAATGTATTTGAGTTAATACGCATGGCATAAGTGCATTTCACACTCCTGTGCAAATGCCTATATCAATTATGTTTTTACCTCACGCGATCATTACGGTTATTTGAAAAGAAGGCCACGCAAGTTGTGCCCAAACAGGTGAGCATTGGGAAGTAGGGAAGTGGCGTGCGTTCGATGCATTTTATGATGGCAAATGATATTTAATCTTACGTTGGATACTAATTCAACGCCGCTAAGTGGTTTAGTGGAACCAAGTAATTAACAATTTGGAAAGAATTGACCCATTTGGCGTGAGATCAACTAGTCGATACTTTTGTCTGCATGATTTATGATTTGGCTATTTACCAACCCAATTGCCACCACTGTTAGTTGTCATAGCACAAGAGGATGAACAACTGAAACTGTGTGAGAATAAGGCTTTAAATTAGTGGGTGGGTGATATACTATTATTCTAGCCAAGACGGCCAACTTCACAAGGCAATCTTCAATTTTGAAGAAGTTTTCATACATAGGGCACAAACGAAAGCAATGTTATGTGCGGAAACTAATCCTTCATATAGCAGTTGGAATTCGATATGGAGAACTGAAAGCCCTGACAGCTGCCAACTCAGAAACAAACTGAACTAATCGACATACAGATTCGCGAAAGTGGAAATTGTCAGCAATTCGTTTGAAGCTCAAAATTCAATTGAAATCGAGGTAAATACACCAGGGAATGGGTTCGTGCTAGTAATTTCAATACCAACATCATTCACATTGTTGGTATCGAAAAATATAATTCAGTTTGAATGTCTCATGATCTGTAAATAAATAGCAACACTGGAGACAATATTTGCAGAAAAGTAGAGTACCAATCAGTGGAGAAGAAAGACTAATCAAATAGGCAGCCAACATCGTGACTTCTGATTGAAAATTGGATTTAGCTAGATTCCAATAGAGGATGGAGGGAATGAAATAAATGGCATCGAAACGATATTGAGGAATAGATCAAGTCATTCGAAGTAGCTATTTCATGTCAAGATTGCACTTCACATGATGAAGAAGAGTCTCACTAACTTATTCTGTTTCTATAATTGCTGTCATTAAGTCCTAGTCCAACATAAATATATGAAAAAATGCATATGCACTTACATACACATATATTTAAATATGTATTGGAATATACATATGTATATTTCTGTCTATATTCTAATGACAAAATTAGGTTTAGTGATTCGACCCAACACAATAATTATATGTGTATAAATATGAATATATTATCATAACAATCTATATATGGGGTGTATGATAGACTTACCTCCACGTGGTGCACCCTGGGCAACGTATACTCATACGGCGAAAAAGTCTATTACCTGGCAGTTGACTTCAAACTACCATGACCCCCCTGTATGTCATATTCGACTACTATCACAGTACTAATCCCACCTTTTTTCCACCTTATCTACCTTCGTCTTTGATACACTCTTCTGTTCCCCCCCCCCCCCCCTCTTGAATTTTCCACACTTTGATGTTCCTTCCCCTCTGTGAAGACTGAAGTCAACTAAAGGGCTAATGATAACAATAAAAACGCCTGCCATTTGATATAATAATAATAAAAACAATTTATATATCAAAGAGTGATAGCCATCTCAAACGGGGTGAAATTAAGCTTAGCAGACAAATAGTTAGGTTCAAATCAAAGCGTTTCATATCGCTGAATCTTCAATGAGTACTAAATTATCTTCACAATTAGAAGAAAAAATTATATTGTTCCACTAGAAAATAAAATGCTTAATTTGGTTCCACCACTGTTCATAACTGAATAAATAATGATATAAAGTTCTATTTGCATTGTATTAGTGTATTTTGCCTTGTTGTTCAAATGTCGATATCAAAAATGGTCACACAAGAAATGACGCGTCTGTTCTATGGAAACAGTTGTGTCTATAGACGTGTGTATTTCAAATGGGAATGTGAAGTGCATTGACATGATTTATGATTTGGTTATTTATTAGGTTGGCAACTAAGCCATTGCCGATTTCAAATAAGAAGGCAAATTCGGAATTTTTGTTTAAAAATATAACTTTATTCAATTAGATATTGGCCGTTCTTGTCGATGACCTTTTTCCATCGTTCTGGCAGAGTAAAAATTGCCCGTTCGTAAAATGTCTGGTCTTTGCTATTAAAAAACTGAATTAGGTGTGATCCGACATCATCCGCGTTGTTACAAATTTTACCATTTAAAGAGTTTTGCATGGAAGGAAACAAATGGTAATCCGAAGGCGCAAGGTCAGGGCTATATATTGTGGGTGTGACAAAACATCCCAACCCAGTTGCAATAATTTTTGCCGAGTAACCAAAGATGTGTGGGGCCTTGGGTTATCATGATGGAAAACAGCACCCTTCCGATTTGATAATGCCGGCCGCTTATCTTCAATTGCATCCTTCTGTTTTTCGAGTTGTTCAACATACATATTTGAATTTATCGTTTGGTTCTGCGGCATGAGTTCAAAATACAAAATTCCTTTGTGATCCCACCAAACTGACAGCATAATCTTTTTTGGGGGGTTAATCTCTGCTGCTTTTGATACTGTTTGGGCTGGTTGATCTTGCTTCACCCATGATCTCTTGCGAGTAACGACATTGTTATAAACTATCCCCTTTTCGTCGCCAGTAACTAGGTTCTTCCTTGGAAATGGATCATTCTCATTGCGTTTCAGTAACGAATCACAGATGCTAATCCGTTGCTTCAAATGAATTTCCTTTAACTGGTGAGGGATCAATAAATCAAGTTTCTTGACATAACCAAGGGTTTTTCATTTTTTTTCAATGCATGCATGCGACACATTGAGCTTCTCTGCAATATCTCGTGTTGTGCTGTGACGATTTGAATCGATAATGGCCTTGATATGGGTTTCATCCACTTCGACTGGGCGGCCAGATCGTTGTGAATTTTTCAGTAAAAAATCACCGGAACGAAATCTTTTAAACCAATTTCGACACTGCCTTTCTTTTAAGGCTTCATCTCCATATACGGCACATAACTTCTTTTGTGCCTGCGATGCGTTCTTGCCTTTTCGGAAGTAATACAATAAAATGTGTCGGAAGTGCACGTCCTGTTCATTCATTTTTAAATTGGGATAAAAACAAAACTAAAGAACTAAACAAAAAATTTTTTCACTAATTAACCTAGAAGCCCATACAGTAAGAAAAAGATATAGGTAAGATGCTCTGGTCACGTTAACGAAACAAAAGAAAGTATAGAGTGAATCTGTCCTAACAAAACAAAAGAAAGTATAGAGTGAATCTGTCAACAACGACTTAGTTGCCCACCCAATACTTACCCAATTGCTATCTCTGCTAGTTGTTGTAGACCACGAGGAAAAACATCTGAATTTGTATGAGAGTTGTGCATCACTATAAAGAGTGTTTCAATCCAAGTTGTTAATCAAATTCAATGATTTGAGTGCTCATGGGATAAAAGCGAGGTCTTTTGCACTGAGGCATTCACCATGGGGTGTGAATCGCGAACCGAGGAGGTTGAGTACAAGCCAACATGAGCCTCCTGTGATTGTAGCACATTGGCAAATTTATGGAGCAACAAGAGCAAAGTGATGGTCTATGGGGAAAAGAAGGAATGAAATTGGACCATGCTAATTAAATGAAGGGTACTATTAATAATGCTCGAATATCTCAATGGTGAGTTTGTTTTCCTTCTATCATGAATATCACAATGAGAAATGGAGCATTTACTAAGCTCAACAAGCATTTGTTTAACTAAGGATAGATTAAACCACTCTTATCACTGAAATTGCAAAAAAACAAGCTGCAAAATCGATACTACCGATTAAATTTAAAAGGGCAATATGTGCCGAATTGGAGTAAGAGAGGGAGAAAGCATATCTTCTAATGATAAATTACTAGGTGAATTGAATGGGACCTGAGTAAATTAAGCTCGTGTGACCAGTGATGCGTTTTTTAACAAGAAAAAGAAACAGCTCCGCAAACATGCATGGATAGTTAGCTCTAAATGACACAAATTTGGTTCATCTATTTATTCACACATTATTGAGTTAATTAGCATAGTTTAGAATCGAATCCAAAACGGAGTAATGAAATTTAACTTCGATGCTAATGTTTTCATACTTGCTATTAAGTGGTCTTGAGTTGAGAAAATTAGCACGTTGAGAAATAAAAGTAATATTAACAAAATAATAATAATTATAATTAAAGGGGATATTTAATTATAATAACTGCTTGAATGACGATTTGTTGTGAAAATGTAATGCTCAAATGCATAGTTTTATCGTATCACGATTTTGTTTGTCTAAGTGTAATGAAACCTGACACCACATTTGACCTATAGTTCAGGAACATGGCGGCTACAGCTCAGTGCCCCATATGTCTGGAGGAAATGAAAGCCTCAATCGGAATGCTAGGTGGATGTAAACACATCTTCTGCTACGATTGCATCAAGAAGTGGTCTGAAGTTAAACAAACCTGTCCTCTTGACCGTTCACCATTTGACTCAATCAAAATACTACACGAAATTGGTGGTGCAGTTGTGGAAGAGGTTTGTTGAGATGCTCACTTTAAATGACATAAAATTTTAGGAAAAACTAGAACCACGGGGGTTGGATCAAATCCATAGTTCCTTTAACGTCGAAGGCATCGATGATTTCGTGTCACATTTCTCAGTTTCTAGAATGCTGTTCGAATCAGGCTTGACAGCAAGGGTTTCGGATCAACATTATCGTTGTTTCGGGTGTCGTATTATTATAGCAGAAGAACAGATGTTTCGGAGTCAACGATATGACCTAGCAAATCGAGAAGGAAGTCAAATAGAAGTTAATTACGGTGTTCCCCATTACATTTGTCCACGGTGTCGAAATAGGGAAAGACGCATAGATTAAGTGCGCATCATTGTTATTAACCACCCTACTCTAGCCACTCCTTACAGCTTCGTGTTTTGTCGCGAAAAAAAGATCAACTTTGGAAGAATTGTAAACAGCGAATTATTTAAAAACATTGTTTCCTTTCACTTTCTTCTTATTTTCATCGCATTATCAATATTATCAATATTATTTCCAACTCATCTTCTATCCACATCTCTTATTGAAAAACAGACCCACTTTGAATTATTTGAGTAATTTTTCCAAACCCCTCGACACCTTAAACTTTCTTCTTATTAGCCTTCTTCTTATTCTCATTATCATTGTTCTTGTTATTAAGTTAGGCAAAAATAAAGCCAACTACTCACCCTACTTCGTCTATACAAACCTCTGTGTTCTCATCACTGTGTTAAAGTAGATGGATAGTGAGGTCACCGTTTACGGTGACCGATATTCGCCTCTTAGGTCAGAAACGGCGAGTGCATAAAAATATTAAACTCACGTTTGAGATTGTGGTGGTTAATTTTGAGCAGTTACTTGGCCTGGAAGTCAATTAAGCCGACGATGATATTGATGGCAAGAAGCCAATCATTTCAAAATCTGCTTGAATTAGTGCTGTGCTAACACCGTCCAATTATTTGACTCTGTCAGTGTCCACACATTTGCAGACACACATTCTGCTCAACAGTATCAAATGGAAATTCGTAAAGAAGAGTGAAAATGAGGCATATACACAATTTCTACTATTAGATCCACTGGGAACATTCCAGATTCAACAAATTCTCAAGCGTCTCATTCACTTCAGAACTGAAGCCTTATTTTGCTGGCGTTAAAGCATTCACTGAGATTGTTCGGAGTGTCAAGTTTGAGGTTGTCCACCATTACATTCAGTTTGAAATCTCGTTAATTCAACATACAGTCCCATTAACACCTCTTTCACCTTTGGCATTTCGGGAATGAAAAGAACCAACTCATGAAATATTGCTAATGTAAAAATGGGTGAATCGGTTGCATTTGATATCATTCACTCAGTTGAGTTCATTTTACAGTCTTGACGTTACGTGATTGGGCGAAAAGAGCATGAGTCGAGCAACATTTACTCTGGTCAATTTTATTCTCACCAAATACAAATTTCCTTTCGTCGCCTGGCGCCACATTTAACCTATAGTTCAGGATCATGGCGGCTACAGTTCAATGCCCATATGTCTGGAGGAAATGAAGGCCTCAATCGGAATGCTAGGTAGATGAAAACGCATCTTCTGTTACGATTGCATCAAGAAGTGGTCTGAAGCTAAACGAACCTGTCCGATTTACCGTTCACCATTTGTCTCAATTAAAATACTACACGAAATTGGCGGTGCAGTTGTGGAAGAGGTTTGTTGAGTTGCTCACTTTAAATGGAAAAGCTAGAACCACAGAGGTTGAATGGACACAATGGTTCTAATAACGACATCGATAGTCATAACGTTGGGGCGTATTCATCTATATCAAGAGTGCACCTCCCTACAACCTTGGTTATATGGGATTTGGATAAGCAAAATCGTTGTTTAGGGTATCATGTTGTTTTATCCGCAGACCAGATGCTTTTTTGTCGAAGATGTGAGATGCGATTCCACACTGATTCCCTTATCAATAATTCTGACGATATTACTCGCATCGTTTGTCCACTTTGTCAAGGAAGTGTGCGAAGAAGGAATCATTGTGCTTAGTTATTCGTGGTGGTTTTTTATGTCCAGCATATTATGCGCAGATGAATAAATGGACCCTTCACTCATGTACTCATACGGCAAAATAGTCTATTAACTGGCAGTTGGCTTCTGACTTCTATCCACCATCACCCCACTGTATGTCATAGTCGACCACTTCTACAATACTCAACTTACCCTACTCTCTATTATTGTGTCTGTCTCCTTTGTCTCTACAAATCACACTTCGGGAACCCTCTTGAATTTTTCCCACTTTGATGTTTCTCCCCTCTGTGAATGGTGTAATTTTGAATGGCTTAAAAATTACTATATCCGCTTTTATTAAATGAACAACAGTCTATTGTTACTTAGGCAAGCGGATGCATAGCTGCAGGTGGGCAGAAATAGTTTGTGGAATTCGAATGTAGACTTTGTTTATTGATCTATGGTTTATTTTGTCTTCGATAATCAGTTAAAGTTCATATGTACTTGTGTGTCTTAATCCTCCTCGCCTTCTTTAAAATATGACTTGACCTGAGAGGTTACTGAGGCGACAACATAAGTTGACTACAGAGCACCTTTCGGATAATTGTCTAACGTGTATGGAGGGAAATAGAAGCCAAGGTTGAACCAGTACAAATCATTGGAAGTTGGATAGTCAGGAATGGCCACCGAACCACTGATTGCAAAACAAGTAAAATCGATTATAAGTAAAGTGAGGTAATATCTTGGTCAGTGGAGGACAATGGGTCTGGGATTGGACTACAATCTTTTCAACACCTCATTTGTTCTCCAGTGGGATCAGTATCATGCGTGCACTTGAAGCCTATAAAATAATAGACACGCATGTCTACGCAGACTCCTCTTGAGCCCATGAGATTCTTCGGTTCAGCCAAGTTAGTGCAGTGCTTCCTACAAGGTCATTATCAGTTATGTACTATTACTCTAGCAAGACAGCCCACTTCACAATCTTCAATTTAGATGTATCATTCACAGATAAGACGAAATCGCTAGTAATGCTATGTGCACAAAATAATCTTACATAAGTGAAAGTGTGAATTTTGAGCAATTCATATGAGGCTCGAAATAGAAGGCAGGCCTCTATTCAAATGGAATCGAGGTAAATGTGATCCGACGAAAATATTTGCAGGAAAGTGGAATTCCAATCAGCGGAGGAAGGCTAATCAAATAGTCAGCAAACATCGTGAATTATGCGTGAAAATTATATTTTGCTAGATTCCAATTGAGGATGATGACATTGAGACAATTGAAAAAAAAACATAAACCTGATTATAATTCATGCGTTGTAGCAATTTTAGCTCACGATTGTGGATAATATTGCACTTTATATGAAGGAGAATGGGAATACTAACATACATTATTTCTAAAATTACTGTAATTAAGTCTATACCCAATATTATAATATGACTAAATGAATATGCATATATATACATAGATTCCAGTACGTATTGACAGATGGTCAAAAATATGTACACTTATATGCTTCTATTTGTCTATTCTAATGATAAAATTAGACTTACTGATTCGACCAAAAACAGAAAATATATGTAAATAAATGTGAATATGTTAGCAGAATAACTTTCACGTTACTTTCGAAATCTAAATATCAAAAGGATGATATTCATTGCAAACAGTGTGAATGTTTATTTCAGTAAGCAAATCATTAGGTTGGAACCATAATATTTCTTATTGCTGTTGCTTTAATGAATATTAGTTTATCTTCAAATTTGAAGAAAAATGTAATTGATCCTAATTGCACATATGGAGGCTGTTTTCACGAAAACATGAAAAGCTTGATTGTACTGCACTGCCTTTTAATAATTGAATACATAATGATTTGGTGATCATCCGGTATTGTATTAGTGTCTTTTTCACCCTGTTGTACGAATTCCAAAATCACATATGGTTTTACCTCACGCTTTATTTGCGATTATACGAAACAAAGGTCACACAAGAATAGTTGTATTTATTAAATTGAGATTGTTGTGCCTATAAACATGTGATTTTTAGATGGCAATGTGAAGTGCGTTGGAAGCATTTTGTGATAGGAAAATTATATATGATCTTATAGTGGTAATTAATCTAACACCGCCAAGTGGTTTAATGGAAATAATTAATTGATTGGCAATATGCATAGATGCGGAGTATTCCTCTCGAAATCTACTATCGCATACTATTGACTGTCAAAATTGTAGTTGTCATGATTTATGATTTGGCTAGTTACTTATACAATTGTCATCGCTATTTGTTTTCGCAGACCACAAGGATGAACTACTGAATTATTGTGAGAACTGTGCATCTCAACAGTGAGTGCTTCAATCCAAGTTATGAGACAAATTTCATCTATTTGAGTGCCCATGGTATTGTAGTGAGGAGAATTAGGAAATATGTAACGCAGTTGGAGCAACCTATGGAAATGAAGGTCCGAAAATAATGTGCGAATTCCCAATGATGAGTTCCATTTCATTCTTATATGAATACCATCGTAAAAAATGAAGCATATGCTGTGTTCAACAAGCAATTGTTTGACTAAGGATAGAGAGAGTCACTCTTCAAACTGATACTACCGTTCAAATGTAAATAGGTCTTAAGTGTCAAACTGGAGCGAGTGAATGGATGCTCATCTTCTACTGAGAATTTTGTGTGTGAGTTGAATGG